ACCACCTCTCTCAATCTATAAATTGGACTAAATGCTCAAAATAAAGCATCAACAACCACATCAATGGCGGCCATTGATCACCAACCATTAGTGAGTCTACGAAGATTCGATCTCTCTGACCTCGACGATTTTTGGGTTTGGGCCTCTGACGAGCGGGTGGCGGCGGCCTGCACTTGGAAAGCCTACACAAACAAAGATGATCTCCGACGACATATAGAGGAGATTGTGCTCCCGCATCCATGGTATCGTGCAATTATTGTCAATGGTCGCCCAGTCGGTGCAATATCTGTGAAAGTTCCAGAGACAGCGAACTATCAATGTCACGGTGAAATAGGGTACATGCTGGCGACTGAGCGGTGGGGAAAAGGGGTCGCAACGTCCGCGTTGAGGATGGCGACAGAGACAGCGTTGGCGGAAATAGAGGGATTGGAGAGGGTGGAGGCGATTGTGTTGGAGGAGAACAAGGCGTCTCAGAGGGTTTTGGAGAAGGTTGGGTTTAAAAGAGAAGGCGTGTTGAGGAGGTATTTGTTATTTAAAGGGGTGGTAAAAGATGTTCTCATTTATAGTTTCATAAAAGGAGACGCCTTTCTTATCTAAATATTTTTATAAAATGATGTAAGACAACTTCATCTTTGATCAATGAGTAATGTTAATTTGAAAGTATATATATATATAATGGTCAGAGGTTATTATACGAACCCCTAGTCACTCTCATGTGTCTAACAATACGAGGACCACCCTCAGTACTGACAAACTGACCAGAGGGTGAATCGAATCCGTGACTTGAGAGGACTTACGACCTTCAGAGATGTTGCTCTACTAACAAGACACGGCTGACAGCGCGCGCACACACAAATATATATAATTTTATAGATATAATAGAATATAATAAGATTGGATGAATTTTAGTCAATATTTTTATCTATAGTCATTAGTATCAATAAATAAAGAATTTAGATGTACACACATGGCGCAATTCCAATATATTTACTTTTCTAATGCCTAAAATTTAATTTTTTTTTATATAATACTTTATTTATACATGAAAAATGTA